CTACTAAAATAGACACACTTCATCAGTTTGTAATTTAAAACCAAGGCAGCCTGTAGACTTTACTTTAGGGAAGTTTTTCTATTTTGAAACGTACTTACTAAGCGTTACTACCAGTAATCTAGTGCTAATAAGAGGCAAATAAAATATAATATATATATCATACATAATATCATATATACATTACTTAAAATCTTTAGATTGCATACTGAAAAGCTCCAAACTGGTTGAGAGAAACATAGAGGTTGGCAGCAAAGTAGGTTATAAAACTGGTGGAATGTTTTTAATGCTACAATAATATACAACTACTTAACTATAAGACAGATTCTGAGTTAAAGTGTTCAGCATATATTGTTATTAAAGTGAACATAATTATTCAGAAATTATGATTCAAAGCTTGATATACAATGTATATACTAACCGTTGGTGCCACAGCAACTTTTCACATTCTATACTGCAATTATTATTATTAATTACTGATAACTCAAATTTTGCTATCTAGAAAATGTAACACAATGCAAATATTTTCCACTCAAATCAATTCAGTCACTCAGAGATGTTAAGTCCATATTTTTGTGACAATTACAATGATCATAAAACAACCAGGCATTTGGTAATCTATCCAGCATCATTATATTTATACTTACTTATTAGTGTCATATATTTTGCTCACTAGTTGAAAATGTTTAATTGTGGCAATGGAGATTGCCACAATTGTTACTATAATGTACAATGCACATCTACATGTATATGCTGAACTAGACACATTTTGTCTATGTGTGTATCAGTATATTGAGTGATTCCGTAAGAAAGCAGCATTAATGCTAGCAGGGCTCAAAATACTGGGTATATGCACCTTAGTGCAGGTAACATTGGAGCTGTGCAGGTATTTCTGATGTCTACCTGCACCTAACCTGCACTGGTCCATGTACTGGGTATATGCACCTTAGTGCAGGTAACATTGGAGCTGTGCAGGTATTCCTGATGTCTACCTGCACCTAACCTGCATTGGTCCATGTACTGGGTATATGCACCTTAGTGCAGGTAAAATTGGAGCTGTGCAGGTATTTCTGATGTCTACCTGCACCTAACCTGCACTGGTCCATGTACTGAGCTTAAGCACAAAACGTGAATGTGTATTTTCATTAACTGTATTGACTGTAATCACCTACGATGTATAAAACAAATAATGGCAATGGTTAATCTGAACAATTTCCGTATGTGATCCATACTTCCTAAAGTCTGAGTGGTGCAGGTAAAATTTGTCTGGTGCAGGTAATTTTCACCGTTACATGCAGGGAAGTGAAGCAGAAAAGGTGTTTGGATCTCCCGCAAGACTAGACTTAAAATATGCCAAAAAGCAGTTACTGAAGCAACTGGATATGATTTTGAAAACATCAGACGTTTCAGCTAGTATCCACTAGCTTTCGTCAGTGACTGAGAGACCAGAGGGAAAATGCAGGTTTATAAGCACAAACTATTGATTGATATGCAAATAAAGTGAAGACCCTCTGGTCTCTCAGTCACTGACGAAAGCTAGTGGATACTAGCTGAAACGTCTGACGTTTTCAAAATCATATCCAGTTGCTTGAGTAACTGCTTTTTGGCGTATCGTATTACCTGGATGTCTAACCTTCATCAACGTAGACTTAAAATATTCTGCAGAAGAAAGCAAGGTGGTCCATGGGGGTAAACCTGCTTATAGGAATTTCAAACTCTCTAATGGAATACTATTTCCTGCATTTAGAAACTTTAAGGCACATTTCTAACTCAACACGTTGTACAACATGTATGTGATTTCAATGAGGGAAGAAGAAATTTTGGAATTTTTAATATGGTCCATCTTTTGCACAGTCTTTGGTAGACTCTTCATAAAATGGGAGTCAAATTGAAAGAAAAAGTTGATTTTGGATTGGGATGATTTTGGAAGACTACTTTTGTCAGAAATAATTTTGGAATGGTCCATTGTCAGCATGGGGTGCTTTGGGAATAGTCTACATGTATTTTGCATGGGGAGGGCTGTTTATGCAGAACAAACATGCACATTTGATTTTGAGGCCATGATGTTGGACACCCCTAGAAACAGTTGAAAGAGTCCACCTCCAAACAGAATGTCCAACAATACATTAGGAATGCTGACTGATACAGAGTTAGCTTATTTTGATTTCAACTGTCAAAAATACCTTCCACTAGCAAGAATTAGTAAATATCAAGTAACACTAATTTTGCTTTTTGTATGATAACACTTATGATCACTCTTCCATGGTTGGCAGTAACGTTTGGCACTGAATGGACAATGAGAGACCCATACATTACTACACAACTCAGGAGACTTCAACCTAATGAAATCTCAGGATATCAGAATTTTCTTTGAAACAACCAGTAGTGATCTTACCTTGCTTATGTTTTGGTGTTCTGCTGTTCTGCTTCTTGCCGCTATATATAGCCAATGTGGTGCTTTTTCAGCGAGAATACAATCCCAAACATGGCTGAGGTTGTACCCACAACTTATAAAGGTCTTTGTGATACAAGTAGAAACATAAGCACGCAAACATGGACATAAACAATAATGAGGGCTTCATAAACACATACAAGAATGACAAAACATCTTTCGTCAACTTGAAATTGCCTCCGATGTCACAAATTCAATTTCACCGGTAAAACGTGGAGTATTTATCAAGTAGACATCAATTTTTGATGATTTTGGCCGAGGTGTTCGAAATAGAACAGGGGGGTTTGACGTGTTCATCAGGAAAGGTCCATTCATCAGATTCTCCCAAAAGCACCACCTGCAATGGCTACATATAGCGGTGAGAAGCAGAACTCCAGTCAAAACCTCTTGTACGTCTGATAGACACCAAAACGTAACTAGACTTGGATCCAGACTTGTAAGAATGTTTAAGTTCAACTTCAAGTCCAAAAGAAACTAAAAGTCAAGAACCGAGTCCGGACTTATTACCAAACAAATAACATTTCACATACCCCTTTTCTTTCCAAACCACCTAAAACCTTCCGTAGATTGCAAAATCTTTGCTGCAAAATGAAGAAAACATTGCCATCGGGCATCGTCAAGTATCGGCCTCCATGTTTTGTGGCCAAAGTTTCGCCCAGATAACATTGGAAGGTTGCCAACATGTAATTTTGTATAAGCCATGGGTTTAGGTGAACCTAAACCTCTGGACTTGAATCCAGACTTGAACCTAAATGTGGGTTCAGGTACACAGCACTAAGCAAGGTAATTAAGAGATGTTTCTAGTTCTGGTTGTGTGAAAGAAAATTTCTATATCCTATGTTCTACCAATTGCAACCTGATAAAACTATTTTCAGGACCCCACATCTCATAGTTATAACCTGGCCCTGGTGGACATCAGGCAGTTGGACAATATACACAACTAAGTCAGATGTGTTTTGAATTTGGAAGGTACTAAACTAACTTGTCGAGGATAAATCATACTTTATCCAACACGAATAAAAAACACTCAGATATATGTACTAGTACTGCTTTGTTGTAGCTTATTTGGCTTAGTTTGTGCTTTTGGCAAAGGCTCAAAATTAGGTAAAGGCATTTTATTTCCCCTATAGTGTTCACATTTATCATACTTTCAAATTGCTATTTACAGCTAACATTAATCTACAAGCAATTGTCGCAAGACTTTTCCAACTGCTAGATCTCTAATTGAAGTTGAAAAATCAAAATTCGGCTCTAAAAACTACACTATAATCCACACACACTCATATCAGGGTTTTGAAAGCAGCTCAAAAAAGGAGCAACTACAGCATGACTTATCATATCAAGACAGAGACTTCAATTATCACTAATATAGAATCAACATGATATGAATGTAAAAGGATGCTGCGAAAGACTTGGGAGCTTCTGTTGGACCCTCCTAGCTTATTTCAAGCCTCGGTCACAACGTGCTGTCTACGTGCATAAACGTGGGCAAACGTAGGACATCCATGCGTGGTGAGTACCACCTCCGTACGGAATCCTACGGATTTGGGAACACGCAGACACGCCGTAGATCTTTAAGTGCATGTAAAACTTTTTCTGCATGCGGTCTACGGATTCACCGACCGTGCGTGCGAGTACAGGCGACACACATGCCCCGTACGTACCGTATGAAAGACGCACGTGTGAGTACGTCCTCCTTACGGTAAAGTTGCTCAGAGATCGTACGTTGCAAGCACGTACAACTCACTTGCCACTTGCGCAATGAACGATGCACGCAACCGCTCACGGCCTGACGTGGCGTGCAGACCACACTTTTACACGAAACCGTGCAAGTGACGTGTGAGTGACGTGCGTCGACGCCACTCCTTCCCCTCGTTTTCGGAAAAAACGTAGCAGACGTAGCCTCCCAAAAAATGTACGGACAATAAGCATGTACGGCGGGTTGTGACCGAGGCTTTACAGACATGGCCGCCATGTTTTACAGGGCTTTCAGAAATCATTCCTGGACTCAAGACGGGTCTTATAACAAATTATAATGACTAAAGACCAGGTGTGTGCCGAGGTCAACATCAGACATGCTATGTATTGCTACACCTTTTTATCAGTGTCCTCAATATATACACTATGTGTGTATATATATATATTTATATAAACATATGCAGAGCACACTTTGACTTTGTGTAAGCCCCCCCCCCGACTATACAAGCCCAGAATGTATACCTAAAAAAATACTCAGCTGCTAGGTATTGGCCATGTAACAATATTTGTGGCGTAACATTTAGTAAAAAAAAAATTCAAGGAACATTTCTAACTACTAAACACTACCGATGTCAGTTTAATAAAGAGTACCTTAATAAAAGTAAAGAGTGTTAAATTTATCATCTTTACAAACAGCGTTTTGCAGGTAAAGATGAAGCCTTAAGTTAAGGTGGACTTGTGGCATATTCTTGGCCAGGGCTGGTAATACTGGGTGCATGTGCACCTTAGCACACCCAAAATTGGAGCTGTGCACCCAATTTTTTTCTGTGGGTGCACCAGTGCACCCAAATATTTTCGTAGGTTTACATATATGTAAAGATATCAAATTTATACTAGTATACGGCATAATTCTTAACACCTAAGTGTCAGAAAAATAATAAAATCTTGGTTGTAGTACTTTATTTTATACACAGATTACCTTATATGGTGAACCCATAAATTTTTTTGTGCACCCAATTTTGTAGATTGGCTGCATCAGTGCACCTATTCCCAAACATGAATTTTGAGCCCTGTTGGCAGATCATCTCATGCATGATTGTCAACACAATTGTAATTGAAGGGACCAGCCTTTTTCTGTATGGCACCTTCTATATCATTTGTGTATGGACAGATAGGAACTGTTCCTACTGTATGACACCCGCGGTGAGCCAAGCAATCACCCAGCTATGGGAAACAGAATATGTATATTTTCCTACATGTATGTAAAGGCACTTCTACACAATCTAATATCGACTCACTCCACCATCAACCTGAGTCTGGTGATGTTAAGCACGTTGGCAGAACGTACTGCACCTGTGTGAAATGTATTGAGCATAATACATCAACAGAACGTCTCTTTTAAGGTTTTATTCGCCTATTTAAGGATGGGATCCCATCTATAGTTTTCAAATGTTGTGTCAGAAAAGATATCGTCTGCAACAGGCAAAATTCTAATGCAACGTGTAGCCAAACATCTGACAAAAACGTGAAAAATCAGTGTTTTGTGCAGGTGCAGTATGTTGAGCAGACGTGTTGTGATGTTGTCCCCTCAGTAGTGGACGTTGTCATGTTTCTTCACCAGCAGGTACGTCATCATGTTGCCGATCCCCTTCACAGACACGTCATGCCTGGGCTCGAACTCGAAGTACTTCTGCATGACCTTGGCGGACTGCTCGCTGACCTGGATGCGCCCGTTGATGCCCGTGCTGTCCATGCGGCTGGCCACGTTGACCGTCAGACCCCAGATGTCGTACAGCAGCTTGGTCGTTCCGATAACTCCAGCGGTCAGCAGCCCGTGGTTGTAACCTATCCTGAGGATGAAGTGGAAGCCGAGCATGTCCTCGTTGAACTTGTTGATGACCTTCTGCATGTCCAGGGCAAAGTCCATGAGGACGATCAGGTGTTTGTCGGGGTTCTCGCGGTCCTTCTGACTCTCCGGACTGAGTCCCGACGCGGCCATGAACGTGCTGCCGATTGTCTTGATCTTCTCGATGTGCCTGGCGTATTCCTCCTTCTCCAACAAGTCGTCAAAGTCACTGAAGATTTCGTTTAAGACACGGATACACTCCTTCCCACCTTCAAAGCTCTCCTCGTAGAAATCGTTGAAGTTGACGATGGTGGCGAAGATGACAGCGACGGAGGAGTGGTTCTGGGAGTATTTCTGGGTCACCTTCAGGGTGTCTGCCACGTGGGTGGGCAGGATGTTCCCCAGCAGCCAATCAGCCTGCTCCTTTTCTATCTGGCTTTTTTTCCTATCGGTGTCCGCACCTATCTTACCGTGGTACGTCAACTTGTTGCTGACTTCAAACTCGCGGTTCAAGAGGATGATGAGGATGATCAACAACCCCACATCGATGATATCTCGTATTGAAAGAACTGGAATAAATCTGCTGCGGATGTGGGGGAGGGGGTGCCGTGGTGTTGGCTAGTACGGTGGGGCCGACGTTGCTCAGTCCATCCACGCAGATGTTATTGATGTCGACGTTGACCAAGACGATCAGGATTATCCCCACGATGAGAACCAGAGCTGCTTTCATCCAGGAGCTGAGCTGGGTAAAGTTGGTGTAGTGCAGGAGAGCCACGGACATGAGATAGTACTGCAGGCCGGGCTGGAAGTGGCAGACCATGTTGCAGTAGACGGCTGCCACTGGAAGACTGATAAGGATGGCTCCGTACAGCTGCCGTAGAACCCACCGCGAGAAGAACTGCGACAGCTGCTGGGAGCAGTCCGACAGATAACCGATGTAGAAGGCCTCTCGTGTGTACGCCACCAGAGTCACCACTTTGATCATGAACGCGAGGACAAAGACCACAATCCACGGCACGCTGGCGGGATGGAACAACAGGAAGCAGCCGACGGAAATCATGGTGAAAACGACAAACGAAACCACGACGTCCAGGAACATGTTAAACCGCGGGAGGGCGCAGGTCTGAACGGCGTTCGGATTCCCCTCGTCTTCCATCTCCGTCGTGTAGTGATCGCGGAATCGCATTTCCAGCTCCGGGTCCAGGAAGTTGAGGGAGAACATGTTGATGGGAGGTTTTGA